CCTGGAAAATATCTGCATATATTTCAAAACTTAACCAGGCAAGACACATTTCCACAATATTTCATCATTCTGCATTCTTTTGTTCTTGTTGAGCTCATTTTAATCATTACTCTGATCAAGCCTTCAGCCCATTTGAGCAATTTACAAACTAGTAGTTTCCTAACTCATCCTATGGTAGGAAGTTACAATATGCGTGGTCTCCTGGAGGAAAAGTACTGTGACAGTGAAAAAGAATGGAAACAGACATTAAAAATAAAGTGGAAGGAAAGGCTGGTTGGGAAAGATCTTCATGCCAAAGTTTGAAAGATATCGTATGTTCCAGGTGCAGTCGGCTTATGGTGCTTTGGGGTCTCAAGGGCAACTCCAGATCTACAAAGTTTTGTACGGTGCTCATTCACACATAACACCAAGCCAGAATGTTTAACCAGGGTTGTTGAACCTGCCAAAATGACCTGGGTGCTTTTTTAGCCTGTTGTCCATCTGCTGTCTGTTGATGGGGAATTTCGAGGTCTCTCCTCTCTCATTTTATAGTTATCTTAAGCCATATTTGTCTGAGCAAAAATAGAAGATGACTTTCAATAAAGGATTTTTCTCTGGGCAGTATGATATATTGGTACCCATCTATTGCAACAGGAAGAATCCATGGGAAAGTAATTTCTGCATTGCTGCTACCATATTAAAAATGTTGGTGTATGATTACAACCGTTTTTTAAATGTCAGACTTAGAACAGAATGGCTGCAATTGGCAGAAATTCAGTAACTGGTCACATCTGCGTTTGGTCAAAAAAACTTGCTAAATTCATGTCATGCAGGTAGTAAAGGCAAACCTGTATTTACCATTTGGCAGGCCCCAGGCAGCAGGCCTTTTCTGCTGTGGCGCCTGTGCTGTGGAATCTTCTCCCCCCTGAGGTGAGGCTGGCCTCATCAATGTTGAGCTTCTGGAGGTCCCTTAACTTGGTTATGCCAGCAGGCCTGGGGACTCCAGGCCTGTGGGGGAATAAGTGAGATGGCTCCCTTATTTCTAACTTCCTTTTATTCTCTGTTTTATTCTGTCTTATATACGTATATTTAATGTATTTTACCATTTTTAGCTTTGTTGTATGCTGCCCAGAGTCACCTGTGGTGAGATGGGCGGCTATATAAATTGATTTAATAAATAAATAAATAATAAATGACGCAAGGGAGATTCATTGGAAAAATACTTGGGATGGAGAGGATTGCAGAGCTTGATAGTACAATCGTGGAATGGAAGAAATGGAAGGGATCTTTGTGATAACCTAGTTCAACCTCCTGAACTCCACTACTACTGCATCCTTGAGAGGTGGCCATTCAGCCTCTGTTTACATACCTCCATCAGATATTCCATCACTTCCAGAGGCAGTCTGTTCCATTGTTCAACAGCTCTTACAGTTACAAAACGTTTTCCTGATGTCCAACTGAAATCTACTTCTTTGTAATTTAAATCCATTGTTTCTTCTCCTGGAACAACTTTAAAGAATTCCTCCCTGTCACCGACATACTCTCCACCATTCAAAATGAATCAAGAGGGAATTACAGGCACCTGACATAGAGATTTTGAAGAAGAGGCTGGACAGCCACCAATCACAGATGGTCTTCCTGGTGTTCCTGCACAATGGTTGGACAGGATTATCATTATGGGCCCTTCCAACTCTACAATTCTGAGTCTATGACCTTTCCCAGAAGGGAAGGGATCCTATTGAGACAAAGTTAATTCTTATATACAGGTAACTTGAGTACAAGTTCAGCCTCTTCTGATTAGTTCTGAACATGTGGAGGGTAGGTTGGTAGGGCTGCAGATCTACCAAGGGGGAGTGGAGTACTCTCTCTCATGTGTCCAGATTATGCTCTGATCCATTCTCTCAATATCAATCAATATGGGAGGAGGCATATGAAGCTCTCCCATTAAGATGTGCTGTTTAGCCCTGCAGCTTACTGAAATAATGACATTATTTGTTGTTGACAAATAGCCCCATTTTAATTACTTCCAACAAAGGAGGGGACAACAGATGTTTGGATGATGAAGTTTAGATGTGGTAGAAATAGTATTTAGACCTTAAATAACGGTAATGCACTGCCTTTAAAAGCGTTGCTCTAGGGTGGTTGAAACCCTGCTGGCTGAAGAAGACTTCAAATGTCTCTGTGAAGACACAGTCTACTGATTTTGCCTAGTTACTAGGATATCCTTTTCCAAAGTATGCAAAAAGCAGACTGTTGGTGATTTCTTAGCTAAATCTCAGCTGCATATCTAAAGATCAAGAAAATTAGGATCTTCTGATAACTTAAGATACTCCATTCAAAATTCCCAGACCTTCTTCCTCCTCATTTCTGAGCATTCTTGAACTCTCTGCTACAGATCTGAACTCTGGTCATCATGAATTTTTTAAGAATTATTTTTCTGGCAAATAAAAGGAATATATAATTTTCTAATTTATATCCTATCTTTCAATTAAATTATTCTCAAGGTGACTTGAGTAACTTTCTCCCAAGACTTGTACCCATGCCCACAACTTAGCAGACTTAGTGCCTTTGCCAGTGAATAGGGCTAGAGTGTGTTTCTCTTTCATTTTGCAGCTGTCGATGCGTATTCTCTTGGATAGGAGGTAGGAGGTAGGTTCCCTGCAGAAGCTCTGGTTGATGAATACAGCACAGGTACAAGCTGTAATGTTTTTCTGGGTAAACAAGTAGTACAGTATCTTTGTGACATTTGATTAGCTTGATTGATGGCTGGAATGTGTATTCAGACCACTCCACATTCTTTGAACAATTGGCCTTTACAATCAAGTAGTGCCTCTTTAAGACTACAAGGAAACAACCATCTGCTTCATGTTTTATTTTTGGTCAGTGAATAAAGAGGACTGAAAACTCACTCTTCAGTACATGAACAGGCTGAAACAGCTTAATGTCAGCTGCTCTTGTCTTTCCGCCTCCCAATATTACAACTTCAGCTCTTTTAGGGATTGAGGGGTTCCTGAAACACACGAACAGGGTTTTCCTAAGTAGTCCTGCTTTAAATTTCAGTGCTTCATACAGGTTTCTCCCAATGATAGTACATGCAGGGCAGACCTCTCCAGAAAGTTGGCATAATACCGAGCTGACCTTGACTGACCTTGAAAAGCAAAATAAGATTAGACCAGTTTATCACTTGGAAGGGAGACCACCAGAGAATCTGAGGACTAGACTGAGAAAGAAAAAAAAACCCCACTGTTGGAAAAATAATAGCAAAGAAAGCTATATGTCCTTGTCCATATAGTTAGCATAAGTTGAGCTTGACCTGAAGGACACTTCCTTTTATAAGCAAATATTCCTTGGAAAAGGGATATGTGCATTTTGCAACATCAGATGGCAGACCTACTTGGTGAAATCATTTGCTATAGCAACTGCTTGTAATAATGGGAGATGATGGTGTGGTTAAGTTTGCAGAAGTGTATAATATAGGAAGGAAGAATTATAGGCAATTAGACTTGTTCCTTCTTCTGAAGGTATGATTTTCACAGAGAGCTGAAAAATGTGTTTCCTGTCCCTGTAGCCTTGATTTTGTATGCAGGACTGGTGGAAAGTTTTTAATTTTTTTAACCATAAAAAATAAAAATGAATCAAATCAAATCTTTATTATGGTCATAGACTAGCATAATAAAAATGAAGTAGAAGTGATTTATTTTCATGCCTTTTAATAAAAAACAGGCAAGAAAAACACACAATTAAAACATCAAACCAATGATTTTATTTGTAACCTATAGTGGTAGCATGAATACTAAAATTTAGTAACTTTGATGATATGCAACACATGATTAATCAGCAACAACTGAATATTATTACAAAATAATATTGTAATAATAATACCTAATTTACTAGTATTTACAATAGTAAATGCCTTTTTTCACTATTATTTACTATTCCCTATTTATCTGTAAAAATACAAAGAAAATATTGAAAATCGTGAAATAACTTATTTCCTTGCGAATGGAAGTCATTATTTTGGCCTTTAGGTCTTTATTACACCAGTGTAATAAATTGCACCTGGTAAGCAATTTGTAGCAAGTGCTCCATTTTCTCTTGATTGGTTTGGTCAGAATTGTAGTTAAAGGGGAGAAGTCATACTTCTCATCCCGTGAACCCAGTGAAGATTGAGACTGGTGGCCTCTCCTTTGGTGAAATCATCATCATCTTCATCATCATCATTATTCAGTACAATAAATTTGCATTCTTCATTGTAGTAATGCTGGAAAAATGCTAGTGCACCCTTTTAGCTGTTGTGAAACTGGTCTGTTGGAATCTTGATTCTTAAAGAAATAAAAGATATGGAGCAAAAATCCTAAACAATTGTATAACTTGCAATAAAATTCTAGCAGTACCAGAAATTAGTTAACTGTTCATTGCTGTATTTCCCAGTGCAGCAAGTTTTATTAAACAGTCATGGTCCAATATGCACATTTAAAAGTATTGGTTTCAGAATATTAGAAAATACAACATTGTATCTTTCTTTAAAACAGTCCTCCTAATAAAATCCATTATATACAAGTAACCATAATTATATACCTTATACATCATTGCTTTCAGTGGAGGAGGTACAAGCATACTTAAATTTTGCTTGTGGAAAAAAAAATCAGTGGAATTTAAATTTTGGGAATCATGTGCTTTGAAATATAACAAGGTTTGTCAAGAGACCAGTTTGGTCTTGAAAAAGACAGTTCCCACATTGGGAGTGGTGGGATATGGACAACTCTGACAGTAAAAAAAAACCAAAAAACTCCTTAATTTATTTATCTGTATAAAATATCTAACAGGAATTAACACTGTAAATGTCTGTTTTCTATATGAAAGTAACTAGCAAAATATTCCACTCTTGACTAAAGTCATAATCAGCAACACAGTATGTCTGGAAAATAAATGTGAACCCTCACACTGAATTGCAGGTGTAGTTTATGTAGTCCAAAATAATATAACACTGTAGAACAGATCAATAAAGAAGGTAACAACCCTGAATCCTATAAGTTTATTGTCATTTATTTTAGTGACATTTGATGTGTCATTTTATTTAGGTATTCTTTGGGCTTTTCAGAAATTTCAAACAGGGAAATGAGAAATGAAGCTTTAGAGCTCATTAAAACAATGCTGCTTCTAAATGATATCATGCTTGGGAATAGTAAAGCAACAACTACACAAACTTAGATATAAAAATCAAAGCATTATACCATACAGGAACTTTTGATAGAGAATAATATTATGTACATACATATTTATATGGAACATATATATCAATGCTTACAATGTCCTGTACTGGCTATATTATCAAATTCAAATGCATTGAACAATACTAGTTGGCATGCTTTCACATTTCTTGTGAGTGCATTAAATCCATCTGAACTATTGTGGAAGACAAATTACAAACCAAGATCCAGTTTGTTAAATATTTAAGATCAAAACAGAATTACGTGTGCAGGATCAGTTTGATGTATGTTATATATACTTATATATCCCACTAAAACCAGCCTCTCTCTGACAAGTGAGCCCATTCTAGTTGTCATGATTAGACATCCTCATGCAACTACTGACATCATATTAAAGATTACACTAATTTATCGGCTGGTAGAAGCAGAGAAACTCTCAATATGATGAACTTTTAAATTTATTGGTGGGACAGAGAGTGCTCATTTTTGACAATGTAACACAACTCATAAGCCAAAGAATGATTGCAAAGCCAGTTTGGAAGTTGTAAATGCAACGTAAAGAAGAAAAAGTGTATTTGGGTAGCATTAAACAGTAGACCCAGCTTTGGTTGGCTGAGATTCAGTTTGTCTTTTGAGCACAGCGCCATAAATTGGAGAATTCTGATACAGTAGTCACTTATAACTATCCATTGGCCTGAATTCTCTGTATAACACACAGTTGCAAGGAAAGGACTTTTTCAGTCCCCAATGGCAGCCAATTTTTGTAACAGACAATATTGTTGAAAGTTAGTATAACAAAGCATTTATCACATTTGCTCACCTTCCCTGGTGGGCACTCCTGTAATTACTTAATATAATTGATTGATGAGTAAGTGAATTACTTACAGAGATTAATGCTGTTTATATATCTTGTTTTGATTGTACTTATTAATATTATAGACAGCCATTTAAAACAATAATAGCTTCATTTATCTTATTTTTCTTTATCTGCGTATATACACTATTCATACATATATACATTGTTTTCTTTTGGCAATAAGGTGATCTCCACTTTTGGATAACTTATAAATATTCCAACCTCTTTTTTTCAGGATTGGGTACAATACAGAATAAACCATACTCACAGGCTAGTTAAAAGACACCAGCATAATTTTCAAAGGGCTGCATTGCTTTCTAGTTTATAGAAATAGTAGTTATCAAAACTAAAGTAACAGTCTATTTGAGGGACTATATACATAATTAGATCCTGGCATCTCCACAATACACATTTTTATTTTGACCTGGTCCCAAAAAAATTGACACAGGTGTGAATGCATAAATAACCATCCTTTACTGAAGGAGGATTTAATCCGCCATAGGTCCATCTTAGTGGTATTAGCAAAGTCTTTGGAATCTTGCAGTTATTGACTAGAAGTAATGTCCTCTTCTATACGTCAAAAGTCTTGTTTGTTTGTTTGCACATGGCTGATGAAATTCAACCACTCCCAGTAGCAAAGAAAAAGAAACACTTGCAGTTTCCTTCCAAATTAATGCTGATTGGAATGTGAAGAGTTGTAAATCCAATCCAAGAGAATTAGAGTCATGCTCCCAAACATAAAGATGATGCCAACAATGAGGAAAATCAGGGCCTGTAATTGGGAAAGCATAGCAACAACAATTAATTAATGGGAAGAGCTATAACATAGCTCATTAATTGGATAAATCTGGATGACTCACTCCAATTTTTTGAGGTGACCTCAAAGGCTCTTTCTTGACAATCCGAAGGTAAAAGGCAGCAGGCAAAATAAAAATCAACATTGTTGCAGCAGAGGCACCTAAAATAGGAAACACATATTCTTACTGTTTGGGAAATGAAGACAAACTAAGGGGATAAAAAAAGAGGCTTATTATTGTTAATTTCTCTCCAAAGTACAGTAACATTGCAATATACACACTTTCATGGAAGTAATATGCCAATGTTGTTCTCTCTGCAGACATAACAGCTGAATCTAGTTAGGTGGCAACCAGCACTCCCAGGCTAAGGTTGGCCATTATATAAACCTGACTGTCATCCAAGGCTACCAAGCAAACCATCAAGTCTCCATTGAGTCACAAAGACAGGAAGAAAAATCCAAGAATTTAAACTTTGAAGCATGCTGGTGGGGGAATTCTGGGAGTTGAAGTCCACACATCTCAAAGTTGCTGAGGTCAAGAAACACTGCTGTGAGGTATAGTCCTATATAAAGGCTTTGAGTTATTTGCATAGCAGAAGATAAATTATTTGTGTGTATATGTCTTCATTCTTATCTGCAACAAAAAGTCTAATCTAGCTGAACTGTCTGAATGTCTCCTGCCAAGAAAGCTTATTCCCAAATCGATGGTTCATTGTTTGGAGAAGTGAGATTTATTGCTTGCCAACCTCTGGGGTGAAGCCTGGCAGGAGGAATACTCCAATATTGGAGGTTCTAACATTTCCAGTGCTGTAACAAATGCTTGCATTTCACCTTCTCCTTCCATTTCACTTCAGTTAGGTCCCTTGAACCTTTCTTCTCAAATGCTGGGGAAGAAACAACTGCTGATGTTTCCACAAAAGTAACAGAGGAGACCCAATATTAAATTTCAGTTTCCAAGGTTAGAGTTGTTGCTCCAACCTGATCTGAGCCAAGCTGAACTCACTGTCTTCTGAACAGATATTTTTTAAATATTGCATTATCAGATATCCAGTAAATTATATCACCTGAAGTTAGAAATATAAGATGAGAATCCTCTATTACAATATCTGACATTTCTATGAATGTATCTGGGGAAGGAGGGTCTATTTTTTGTACTAGATATACCTCTACAATGGAGAAAATTCCAGAATTATATGTTTTCCTGTGAAGTAAAATCTCAAATTGAATTGCTTTTGTTAAAATGTGTAGTCTACTTTTCAACAAATATTCCCCAAAGTGGACCGCAGTGATAGAAAAATAACAATGCCTATAAAATTATACCAAAGCCAAAACACAGTGATAAATTAAAATACAAGAATGAACACTTTTAAACTTTAGAAAAAATGTGACAGAAGAGAAGAAAGGCACTGATAATGTATTTTAAAGTCAATCTTCTGGTCTTGTAATCTAGAACACAGTCTCTACTCACCCCTCCTCCAGAATTAATGGCCACAAGCCTGACCAATTGTGTAAATGATGAACAATTTTCATCGCTAAATCTAAAAGGTTAGATTCTAGAAGACCTAGATAACAGGGGCAAGATTTAACTCAAGTTGTACTTACGAGATCTCATTTTTATATAGGAAATGAGAGTAAGCAAAACAGTAGGGAAAGAGGATGCCTCATCTATTTCTAAGAGGCTCCTCACATGTGAAACTAGAAAAAGATCAATCTAACCTTATGTATAACTTTGTGTGGGGATCTCATCTGGATTGGCACCTGTACAGGAGGAGGATGTTTTACTTCCTCTATGCAACAACTATTATATAAAAGGCTCCCAATTGCTGTGAGGGGTGGAAGCATGGGCGTCCCCAGGGATGAATCGAAAAATCAAGATGGCTGCCATGACTGTGCACTTGAAGACCTGTCCCTCTCTATGTGTGTTGCATTTGTATAAATGGGTGGTCAAATAGTCATGGCTGCCATCTTAACTTTTTTGACCCCCACCCCACAAATGCACCTGAATGGAAAGATGGAATCTCCTCTTCCTTGGTGTATAAAAAAACAACTTCTCAGATCCTAAGATGGTTACTGGCTAATTTGGCAGGGAATTCTAGATCCAGCACATCTAGGTACCAGATTAGAGAAAGAAGATATAGCAAAAACGAACATGTTACTATGTCACTCCTATTCTATATTAAAAACTGTGTGTGTGTGTGTGTGTGTGTGGGAGAGAGAGAGAGAGAGAGAGAGAGAGAGAGAGAGAGAGAGAGAGAGAGAATCCACACATACCTATGAATCCAAAGATGTCTTTAATAGTAGGGACAAAGATGACCAAAAGGTTATTAAATATAAGGATAACAATAGCAATTAAGAAGTGTCTTATCCAACTGAAAGGCCTTCTGGGGAACAAAAGTGTGGTAAGGGAAGTACGGATCTATAAAAAAGCAAAACATGAATACATAAATCAGCATATTTTAGTTTTATTATGCTCTTTAAACATTTGGTATCAAGAAATGTTATAACTTCAATTCTTTTCATCTTTATAAACATGCCCTTTTGATCCTGGGGTTTTATAAATAAGAAAATACCAAAAATAAGTTCTACTTTTAAAGGGCAATTTAAAAAGATACCGATGAAACCTGACTTGGAAAAGGATGTCAGCATGGTTACCAGTGAAATCCATGATGGATATCTCTTATTCATAAGCAGACATTTCTGTATATTCAGTTTATACATGTATAAAATCATCTTCTTTGGGTGTGATCGGGGTTCTTCTCTGTCTTAAAGGGAGACCCCAGCTGACTCTATTGGCAAGCTTTCAATAAAACTTTAAGATCTCAGCTGGTATTTTTGTGTCTGATCTTCTGCCAGACTGAATCCGAATTGAGGAGAGTCAAAAACTCTCAAATTTTGCTAACAGTTGCAGCAATCAATTTTATGGGATTTCCTGTAGGTTTTACGAAAACAGGGCCTTTGCTTCTTGTATGTGTCTATCAAATATATTTTCACTCTATCGTTCCACCTACAAGGGACATCTGGAAAAATAAATGTGGCTATATGATTCTGTTTGGCCTGCTCAGCAAATATCTCAAACCTGAACAGCATTTCTATGGCTGTTATGTAGTTGCAGGGATAATAACTAGGTAAAAGGTTAATAGCAGCTCCAGTTAGTAACTGTGGTCAACAATACACTGAAGTTGCCTGACTTGTTAAAAGGGAAAAAGTCTTAAGTGCAGGCCAAATATCAAAAAATGGCATCAGCATCAAGTCTATAAAAAACAATAAGCCAATAGCTATTTTGTCATTGATTTTAGTACCATGGAGACTACTCACTACTCCTTTGGGTTCTAAATTTTTCCACAAGCATTTCCTCTATAAGCAGTATTTAAGACTGAAGGATGATCTTAGTTTAGTCAAAATAGTACCACCCATAAATAATAGCAAAATATGTTTCCTTAAACAGTTTTTTTGGGGGAAAAACAGTAATGGAAGAATTTCCCTATCTAAGAGAAGAGAATGTACTCATAGTCACATAATGCTCAGCATCTCTTCTATGTGCCTTTTTTTAGAATGGAGTACCTTGGAAGAGGGCATGGCTAGCTATCACACTGAACTGGAACTCTAAGTTCTCCTGCTATTGTAGCATTTTCTTTAATAGATGAAGATCATTAGTATAATTCCTGAGGTCAATTTTGTTAATCTGAAATGCCCCCCAGATGCTCAAATTTACCTTTCTAGATTTTTGTCTGCAATATTCTGTATGAGTTTTAATGTTAGGTCACCACTGTCATTAAAAATTAAAGAACAGACCTATTTTACAGCTGAGTTGCTTGAAATGAATTACAAGAGCAGAGGGAAAGGGCACGGGAATTCAGCCAATCATGGATGGGCTGTTCAAAGTTTAAGTAATGACTTACTGGGAATAGGACTATTGGTACAGTGAGAGTCACAGCCACAAGGACTGCAAGGCGGACCAACAAAAGCAGAGTGTCAAAGGTGTAAACCTTCCTATATGTATGAAGCAACTCATCTTCTACTTCACCTGAAAAAAAGAACAATCACTGTTAGTTTTCTCAAGCAACCTCATTGTTACTTGGTGCACCTTCACACTGGACAGTTTTACTCTATTTCCACCTGCCAATCACATTTGAAGCCAATGTTTGATCATCATAATTTCTGCTGGCCTTGAAATATTGACAGAGAATACGATGAGCCAATAATTTCATCTTCCAACTGATCTAAGCTTTTTAAGTAAATAAAATAAATGACACCTAATTCCCAAACTACAGCAGTTCCTGCAGTAACAACATTCCTTCATATCCACTCAACATAAAAGAAAATAAATGTAAATTGCTAATGCTATCAGTATATATGACGTTTGGTTGTTTGGCTGTCTGTCTATGTGTGTGTGGGTGTACATGTATCTGAGTTAATTTTGTTCTGTTCAACTTAGAAAGCCTCAAAGCCTTGGCTAGTTGAGATGGTAGAAATACTGCATAGTGGCATTTTTGCAACCAAGTGCTTCAGACAAGGGCTGTAACTATAATTGCACATTGAAGTTTAGTATCTCTGTGTGTGTCTGGAAAGAGACAGTAATGCCTTGGCTGAGTCTGAGCCAGGAAGTGGAATGAAACAAGAGTCCTGGGTACATTGCTTATATAAACAAGGAAAATCCAAGTGGACATTTTTTTCACAAGACTGTAAAACATAATACATTTTCAGAGATTTTGGCATTTTTCTATTTTGGTTCACAAGACACATTATGTGAGATGACCTTCCAATGTGCCTGCCCTAAGATCAGGAACCAGCTGGTACCAGAGAGTGAAAGTATGTAGAGTTAACCTTGGGAATGGGGAAGAAATGACTGAATCATTAAGGGGGGACTTTGTGAAAAGATGACTCAGTCCTCAGAAAGAGGAGAGTATGAGAAAGACACTCAAATTTTATTTATTTATTATTAGGGTTATACCCCACCTTTATTTCTGTACAACTCAAAGGAGGTGTAAATAACTGCTCCTTGGTTTTGTTTAGTATGTAAGGTGGGATACAGAGAAACTTGGACAGACTTTCAAGACTGATGCCAGTTGTTCATGGTAGGTCAGGTCAAGAAACAGACATGGCAGATATTCCAGGAATGCTTTTTATGGTAGTAATGCAGAATAATCTAATCTTGAATATTCGTCCACTTTCACCTCTGTCCCATCTTATATTAAACAAAATCAAGGTGAGGTTATTTTAAGTTTCTTTCTCATGCTCTCCTGTTTCTCAGGACTGAGTAATCTTTCCACAAACCCTGCCCTCATTCAATTCCCTATTCTCAAGGTTAGCTGTATATTTCACAGGGTGACTTTAAAACCTACCCCCCACCCCCGAAACTGTAGATATCAGCAACACAGCACAATAGCTTCAGGCCTAATCTGGCTCCCATAAGTCTTAGGCAACATGGCCAGTAGAGAAGAAGATGATTTACATCTGGAGGACTACACATAGAACACTTCCACCTTAACCAGAAATAACTGGATACATAAATCTACATTCATCCAAGTAGAGAGGAACCAAGTCATGTTCCATAGAGATGGATTTTTATTTCATGATTTATTATTTTATTTCATGATTTATTTCCTACTTTTCCACCATACAGCATCCCGCTTTTGTGGCCTAACTTATTCTCCCAGATATTCCAATATTCTGTGGATTCATAGTTGTTGAGATAAGACCATGCCCAAGCAAGTACGTGTAGAGATAATCCATTGAGATTATTGCACAAACAGAAAACTGGAGAAATTATTTCTTTATCATGATTTAAGTCACGGATGACAAATCTCTAGGTAGGCCATGTTTGTTTTAAACTTCTTTCTTTTCTTCTAAAATAGAAAAGCAATTTGTTTAAGTGGTGGATTAGAAATCAGGAGACTGTAAGTTGTAGTCCTCCCTTAGTCATGAAAGCCATCTGGGTGGCTAGGTATAAATCTAATAAATAAATATGATGCTCCTTTGCCCTCTCATGGAAATGACTGTTCCTTGCTTTCCCTGCAGAAAATGAGTGTCTTTTTCATAAAGGAAGAGTCAGGGAAGGGGTGCTTCCTCCCAGTGCATGAAGGCGCCAGGAAGAAGTAATTTCACTCCAAGATAAGTTATTTCCTTCATGCCCTTTCCCGTTATGTCACCCAATATGCTGTGCATGTCACAGTATGGCTGCATCAGAGGCTGGGAACTGGCAAACAGACAAAAATCCCCAGTACTGAGACCAATTTGCAACACATTCATCCATCAGGGCAGCCCACACAGACACAGTGGCCCTTGGGCTGGACTCAGTTACTTGTCCCTGGTTTAGGGATTCAGCTCCAGTACATAACTATAGTGGAAGAGAATCGAACAATAACTGACCGTGATCTTAGCATACGGAGTTGCTGCTGAAATGCCCAGGTAAAATAATATCCCTTGCTGCGCAGAAATATTTCACAGATGGCAAAATAAAGCAGAATTAAAAAAAAGTCAGACCAATGAAGGGAAATAGCTATTACAAGCAAACAGATTCAGAATACTGTGAAACCTGCACAGACATGCTGAGCGCTTTAGATCAGCTGAGACTCACCATAGAAAGTAAGATAGCCAAAAAGGGCAGCAAGGAGGTACATGATGAGCATTCCCATTATGGAGACGTTGGAAACATTTTGCATCCGTTTTCGAGATCGGCTGAGAAGAAAACAGCAAAAGGACAGTTAATTACTAGTAGATTTGTTCATGTAGCTCTGTGTGTGTGTGTGTGTGTGTAAGAGAGAGACTGAGAGGGAGAGAGAGATTCCTTTTCTGCCTTGTGGCTCTTGTATGTTTTTATTTATACTTTAGGAAGTATAATGTTGTGAAGTGGGAACGAATTCTTAAGATCCCACAACTTTAAATTTCCCTACACTGCCATGCTTTGCTCTCTTCCTGAGCCAAGTATTCACTTACTTTATTTATTCACTTTATTTAAAAATAAATATCTGGAGATTCTGCTTGTCCTTTTAAGAAGATGGCTCAAGAGAACTCAGGTTAATGGGTGATTAGAAACATTAATATAATAATAATAATAATAATAATAATAATAATAATAATAATAA